GGCCTAAGGAGGGTTGGTTGGTGTGCGCGAACCTAACGCTCGACGCCGACCCTCAAGAACTGTCCACTGTCCGCTGGTCTCGGCTTCTCCCCACCACGTCTACGGCAGCGCTTCAAGGTGACAGCGGCCGAGTCTCGAACTAGGATACATGACCAGCTGCAGTGGACATGTGTGACATTGTTGTCAAGCGCGCTCAAGCCTTCGCGGCCTTTAAATAATTAAAACGAACCCCCCAATAAAATGTGACCATTACACCCCCTTTTCACTTTGGCGAGAAAAAAAACAAACAAAAAAAAGGTACCTGCCTACAGGTATCTTCGCTCGTACAAACGCTTCTTCTAGTGGGCGAGGCGACAAACCATCCCAGCACCCAACGCTCGGCCCTTCTTCTCTGGCGGGGAGAACGCTCTCCTCTCACGCCTATGCAAAAGAGAAGTATCGACCTGTTTGTCAAAGTTAGATGTCAATCTACGATTTGGCTGAGTTGTATCGCACAACCTCAGGAAACCGTTCCTACGCTTGACATGGATATCACTCGGCGACGACCGATTATCCTTTCGACTTGCAACGGACATTTGGCGCTCGTTTTTAAGAGCACCCATCCTCCTTCTCTGATCGCGACTATCACTGTCCGTATCCTTCCGACCGTTCAACCGAAATAGCTTGCCGCTACGAATAATGTATTTATCGAAACTCCCGGGATTAACATTCACCTTGGTCCGAAGTTTACCGTACCATCTGTCTGTGCCACCAGATCGTTTATTCAACCTTTCTGGATCACTCCCTGGTGTTTTAGCGTCCGAGTTAACGCATACTTGAAGGGGACACACCGCTGTCTCGATGGAGGTATACTCGGCGACACCTTCTGCCGGTCGCGATAACGCACCAGCCACATTGTTGGCGGTACCTGTCTGGTACTGAGCCTCAACACCGTGCCGTTCGTTCACTCCATCAGCCGCGTCCGGTCTCGTATTCTCTACCTCCACGTGGTATGTCACCAAGTTCAGTCGCTCTAAGCTATCGATCCCGAGAACTATGTCACTGGTAAGCGAGGGAAGATACAGAGCATGGAACTCTTCCATTCGTCCTTTCAATAGACCTTTGAACGGATAGGACTTGTGCGACTTCGAATAACTACCGTTGGCGAGTCTCACTACCATAGGAGTCAAAACAGACATAATTCCAGACTGTTCCAAGTGACGTGCCACCGCCGTGCCGATCAACGTGACTACGGCACCTGTATCTATTAGCGCGGCGAACTCTCGCCCTGCTATCGTCACCGATACGTGCGGTCGTCTGTCGTTGGTCTGAATCTGAGCGTTCTCGGTTTCCGGGAATTGCTTAATTTTCTCTAACCAAGCGCACCAGTCCGGGGAGGTCTTCGTAGAAAGCACTACTGAGGATTCAGTTGACCTCATTTGGTAATTTTCTCGACACCGACAATCATGGGTTCGGATACCCACCTTTTTACAATAGAAACACTTTAGAGTTCTTGGCATACGGCAGTCACGAAACATGTGGCCTTTCTTGTCACAGTTCCAACATGTGAGATATGATTTTTCTCTCATGTTATTCGGCCATCGCGGAACTGCATTGTTTTCTCGGGGTGAACCTCCGCGCTCACGCTCCGAGTTACGTCGTGGTTTTGTAGATGACGAAGTCCTCGTAAAATTACCCGTCCGGGGGTTCGGAGAGTGTTCTCGTGACCTACGTGGTCTTGCCTCTGACCGGAAGCCTACGCGCTTCTCGGTTAATCGTCCCGTCACGCCGTTTGATGACTGACACTCGCCAATCGTCGAAACTACGAAATCATCTCCTGATTTATTATCGCGTCCTCGTCTCGGGTGATAAGCCGTTTCGGGGACCAACGCTGCTGACGGAGGGGGAGGGGGACGGAAAAGAGATTTTTCCCTAAAATAGCTCTCAACGTGTTCCGCTTGTCTGAGCATTTCGTCGACCGAGAAAAAATCGTGTCTCCTCATCGTCAACTTATATTCGGGTCTCATATTCGTATACAAAATATTTAATTGTTCGTGGAGACTGAGGGTTCCCTTGCGTCGCATGAGAGTAGTTAAAGCCACAACAAAGTTTCTAAAAGCTTCGTTGTCACCTTGAGTACGACGCCGAATTTCTTCGTCTAGATTTCGCTGGTATCCCGGTGGTAGGAATTGTAGTTCGAAACTCGATCTGAATGACTCATAATTATGCCAGGAGTCTTTATAGTTTCGATACCACAACAGTGCATTACTATGTAGTAGCTCGGGGAGTGCTCGTATAATATCGTTCTTATTTATTTCGTAGGCCTCCATAAGCTCTTCCAGGCGTTCCAAGAAAGAAACGGGGTCTTTAGAGCCGTCAAAACGAACGTTCCACTTTCGAACTAGATTACACAACGCCGAGACGTCAACGCCAACCTTACGAATTACGTTCGAATTTTCGTGACACGAAGGCAAACCACTACTGAATCCGTGATTCACGCTTGCCTGTGTAGCAATACCTAGTTGTTCGCTCGCGAACCCACCGTACGGTCGCTGACCGGTACCGGGCACCGTAGTTCGATGAATCGAATCTGTAGAGTGGGAGGTGTCGAAAGCATAGTTAACACTTGGTCTGGTTAGTGTACTATACACTAACCCCTCGGAATTTGTAAAACGATCTGATTGTGTCATATTGACTGGATAATTACTAGCCTGATTGTTGGCCTGATTGTTATCAGCGCGCATTGTTAGGCTTGATAACGAACGACAAACGTCCTCAAAGTTGGTTCCTGGAGGCAAACCAACTATCTCCCGTACTCTGTCAAGTTCCGCACTTCGTATGTCACTGGCACCTGGTCGCGAGTCGACATATCCCGTGTCGTACCGGTGTGGAAGTGCAGTCGCACCGTCCACGCTATCATTCACGTCCTTACCGTACACTGCTCGGGGAATGCCATGTTTCCAAAATTTACAAAACGACTTACGAAGTTCGTCGACTGTCCCCATATTAGGCAAACCGTATCGACTCATTTCGTAACGAAGTTCATCCTTGGTTAACGTGTGAATCCACCCAATTCGCGGGTCATCCTCTGAGGGACTCTTAGACGTCAACGTACGATCAGTCGTAGTAAGTAAATTTAAAGTCGTTGGTACCATTAACTGTGTCGTCGTTGTACCTACTTGAGGCTGAGTAGCCTCTGCGGTCGTAGCGGGAAAACTTAAAGTCGATGGCACAGTTGGTTGTGAAATAGTTTGCGCTACTTGAGCTTGTAAAGACCCGGCAGTTGTAGTCGTCGTAGTCGAGGTCGATTCAGTCACCGCTCTGACCATTTTAGGCGTAGTTTTCGCGCTAACACTCGATCCTACCATTTTCGCTTTTTCTTATATTCCAAAGAAAAAACCACTACGATATCGATTTTACCGTTCGGGCGCCAATACGTGAAGCACGTATGAATATTACGATAATAACGAAACTTTCAATGTCCCTGTTCGGAGGCGCCACTTTGTGAGGTGTTTATGTCGGGTAGGGCACCTATCATAAACTTACCTCCGATTTGCTCGGACAGCTCGAGTAGTCCAGGGTCTCGCTGACAATCCTCGTCGCTCGCTTCCCACTTCTGGATCTTCGTAGATGTTAATGTCGCGCCGATCTGCTAGTACACAAGTACACACTGTGTACCTCGGCACGTCGACGCACCGTACACGAGTTGCTATTAAGGAATACACTAACTATAGTTACTCCTATAACTTGGTGTCAGCACAGCGACGCGCTGACAAGGCCAAGTCTAAGCTAACTACTAGGGCTGATAGATAAATAGGCGACGATTAGGAAATAAAATAAATAACCAGCTCCTAGGCTTAACGAAAGATCTCACTTCTCGAAATAAAACTAAAAATAATCTTCTCGGAATTAAAAGAAAACGACGCTAACTCGCGATAAGTAAATAAGGAAATAAAACAAAACGTAGAAGGCACCTAGGCCAATTCTTCTTGGCTTTAAGGAAAATAAATAAAAACTCCTGATTACAATAAAACAAAACCACTTTGGATGACTAAAAGTCGGCGTATGTGACTGCGACACTACACTCGCAGCGTCGGTCGATAAACTACGTTATTCTATAATAAACTACGATAAACGTCCTAGAATAGCCTAATAAATAACGCAATTTCCCTCGCCAAAGTGGATACGGGGATGAATACAACGTATACGCTAGCTATATACAGTGTACTTACGTAACTCGACACTTCCAGATTTACATCCGGGTTACTCTCGCCTTCGTCCGGATACCTTATTATTTGGTTCGCTCGCACGGCCTAAGGAGGGTTGGTTGGTGTGCGCGAACCTAACGCTCGACGCCGACCCTCAAGAACTGTCCACTGTCCGCTGGTCTCGGCTTCTCCCCACCACGTCTACGGCAGCGCTTCAAGGTGACAGCGGCCGAGTCTCGAACTAGGATACATGACCAGCTGCAGTGGACATGTGTGACATTGTTGTCAAGCGCGCTCAAGCCTTCGCGGCCTTTAAATAATTAAAACGAACCCCCCAATAAAGTGTGACCATTACACATGTATTCCTTCTAACGCCGTCACAGTCAAATACAACAATGTATGGCTGTCAGGCTGTGTTGTTTGTGTGCATACCAATGACTGTGAGTGAGCGAAAGGTTCCTAAGGACATGCAGGGACAGAGCAAAGACGGCTTAACTAATGGAAGTGTGGAGCCAGCAGCCCGCCTGATGTCCTGGTGCAACTGAGCTGAAGTGTGTTGTGTGTGTGCGTTTTATAATTTTAATTATTAATTAAATTTTCTATCAAATAAGATGATTGACTGCTCATTCCCCACCTATGTGGAGGATAATCCATCTGTTTGTTCAATTCTGTGTAACAAATATTTGTGTTTTTGATGGAATAAAGTATTTTTCATTTTATTTCATTTACTAATTTTAAAATATTTTCAGCAAGAGCTACTTAAGTAGGCTGCAACCTATAATCAGATGTTTTTAAACTGTATTATTAGTTTACCGTGTCTCCAACTTCAGGGTTTCCCACTACGAAGTAGCAGTTGTACTGCTCTTCAGGATCAAACAGAAAGGTGATAAAATCAGGATCTGCACCTGCCACAACCACTTCCATTCCACTGGCCTTAGCCGCGGAACCAGGCCCTAGTGACATCCTGCAAACAATCACAGCATTTTTTTACTAACTTAGGCTTATTCAATAGTATATGAAAACCCTTAAGATTGTCTTACTTGTCCAGCTCCTCCAGCAGGACCCTGTCTTCCGGTGCACCACACAAACACTACCCACCAAAACTGACACCCTGATTAAGTAAGTGTACTGGCCTACTTAAAGCTACAGCCTTCTGTAGGTCAGCACAAGTTATTGTTCAACATCATTACCAGCCTACTCACACAACATTGCCAAACACTTCCTCCTCCCATTACAAAACTATTAGGTAGGTTATAAGTTGTATATATAAATTATTAACTACAATGAAATAAAATATATAATATCATGTATTTTTTTTTGAAAAACTGACGTGTCATATGTTTACTGGTGATTATCACAATTATGTAAATTATATGTGACAAATAACATTTAATTTAATTTCAATAGAAAATGTTATAATAAACAATAAAAATACACAAGTTAAGTTCTGTGGATAATAAAAACATACTTTTTATAGCCTACATATACAGTACGGCACTAAGTTATTGTATAAACAAAAAAAATTGCAATAACTTAGTGTATGACATGGAAAAACCTATGGTCTTAGGGTGACCCGGGGCAATTCTGGCAGCCAGACGTGAACCTTAACTTTAACTGCTTGTACCGCGGTGAACATATTTTTCATTTTATTTTGACAATTACCATAGTAATTCTATGTTATTCCTCTAGTGTTTTCATATATTTAGACAACAATCTCAAACTCCCCTTAAGGGGGTTTGAGGTTTTTTTTTTGGAGTGTCAGATGCCAGAATTGCCCCAACCTTGGGGCAATTATAGCAATACCTTATATTTTCCTTATTGTTTAAATTGCTCTGACATTGGGGCAATCATGGCATAGGCCTAATTTAGCTGTTTAAGATGGTGTTTTAATTTTTGTTCTATCTCTATTTATAAGGAAGTTGTGAATAAACCGGTAAGACAGTACAAGCGTACAAGGGCCTTAACCTCAAAACTTCTAGCAACAATAAACAATAAAAATAATCAGGCTGCCATAGAGTAATCTAAGCAAAAGGTGTTTACAAAGCCATCCAAATGAACTGAAATGAAACATATTACACATAACACACGTTGTTATACAATTTATTCTTTAATTTATACATTATTTGTATAAAGATATATAGCTGCCATAATTGCCCCGGGTTCTTTGCCACAATTGCCCCATAGCATATGAAAATGGGGCAATTATAGCACCCATTTAAATTTAAATATCTTAAAGGGATAACTGCTATTACTATTTTTGTTCATGAAGTTTTAAGTCTGAACAATTATCTTTGAGTATAAAAAAAAATAAAATATAAAATTCATAGGGGAAAAAAAATTAGCCGTGTGCGATGTTTCGATATCCTCGGGCTGTGGAAGAAAGTACTTTTTTAATCGCTAATAAAAATTACTGCAAACATTTTATTTTTACAAAAATGCTTTCCTATATATAGGAGGTATATGCTGAAATAACAAATATTGCTTCACTGATCTGTAAAGCTGAAATTTAAAAAAAATATAGGCCATTGCTATAATTGCCCCGTGCCAGAATTGCCCCGGGTCACCCTATGTAAAAAATAATTTCATACAAGGACAATTTATTTTGCCGAAGCTATTAGAAAAAATGCAATAAACTTAGTATGTGAAATAAAACCCCTATGGTGTAGGCCTAATTGAAAAATGAATCATTTGTTAGTCCAAGGCGACAGCCCTACCAAATGCAAACTAACTTATGCTTTTTATAACAAAAAATATAGTGACCCGGGGCCGGAGGTAAGCCCTTCCGTGATGCACCCGATGGAAGGCTAACCAGCGATATCCTTAGTTAATAGCCTTTCACTGTAAAAAAAATGGTAGGTAGGAGGCCTATATTTGGATTCAGGAGGTAAAAAACTATAAAGATCTAGGATATACAAATTAAAAATTCTTTCGGAGGTGCCTAACTTAAGTTATTAGTAACTTAAATAATTACCAAGGTATGAACTTAGGTTAGGCACACAGCAAAATATAATGGAACACGTTTTAAGAAGTCGAGGGACTACATTTCTTTAAGTTCATTTAACAAGAACTAGCCTAAAATCAATTATCCTACTTAAGCAATTAGGCTTAAATAGACTAACTTAGAGAAATGTGATACACAGAGGATACGCGACCAGTAACCGGACGTGGGTTAAGCGTCCAGCAGTCACGTCACCGGGTTGTGGGATCCCGGTAGGCCTACGCCATTACCACAACGATACGATTTACAGCCATCAGTGTTCGTGGTGTAGTGGATAGTGCTCGGCTGATATACAAGAATCCCATCAGTGTCAAAGATTTTGCTTTTAATGCCATTTCTTCTTAACTGTAAGTTAGGTAACTTAGGTAGGCTATATCTTTTGTTAAAATTTTTGTCATTTATAATTTTATGAACAGCATTATTTAAGTAAACCTTCATTCAATTTTTTCACTAACTTATCAGCAAGTTTGGTTGGTTAGGTTAGGTTATGACAGTTCTTAACTGCCGGATGCCTAATCCACGTCCGGTTAACTTACTGGATGCCGGATGCGTATCCTCTGTGAATGTGATAATCTAGGTTAGCCTATTATAGGCCTAGGCCTAAGTTAGGTACCGGTAGTCTAAGGTTGTTTTGTTAATTCATTTACTGTACGCCTAATTCTGGTCTCTTACCTTGCTACTGACTTCTACTTCTACTAGGCTACCACCATAGATAAATCATACTCCCTCACTAAGTTACACTTCTGAAGTGGCAAGTAGAAGTTAGTTCAGTTGTTAAACCTCTCTTCTTCTACTTGTCCGTTGTCGTATTTAATTATTTAAACAAACTTCACAGAAGAAATGAAATAAAATTCCTATTCCTGGAACATGAGTGTCAACTAGTGATGTGACGAGTTGAGTTGGCGAGTCGAGTTGACTCGAGTCAAGACCCGAGTCGAGTTGACTCGAGTCAAGACCCGAGTCGAGTCAACTCGAGTCAACTCAATTCCAACTCGAGTTCTTTTACGAACTCGTACGGAGATTGCCGAAGCTACACGAACTCGTAACGTTACGAGTCCGACTCGCAAAAGCCGAGTCAAGAAACCGAACTCATACGGAGAAAGCCGAACCTTAACGAACTCGGGACGTAACGAGTTGACTCGAGTTTACTCGCACTCGCTTTCGGCCAATAGCGTCACAGCTTTACGAGTCAACTCGCATAGATTCAACGCTATTGGCCGGTACCGAGTCGGCCGACTCGCAAAACTAACGAACTCGTACGGAGAATGCCGAACTCACACGAACTCGGAACGTCTCGAGTCGAGTCGAGTCGACTCGTAAAGCTGACACGCTATTGGCCGGTACCGAGTCGGCCGACTCGCAAAACTAACGAACTCGTACGGAGAATGCCGAACTCACACGAACTCGGAACGTCTCGAGTCGAGTCGAGTCGACTCGTAAAGCTGACACGCTATTGGCCGGTACCGAGTCGGCCGACTCGCAAAACTAACGAACTCGTACGGAGAATGCCGAACTCACACGAACTCGGAACGTCTCGAGTTGAGTCTGACTCGACTCGTAACTCGAGTTCACGGCAGTTGGCGAGTCGAGTCACTCGAGTCAGGAAAGTACCCGACTCGTCACATCACTAGTGTCAACTGTCAAGTCAATGTCAATGTCAATGTGCTAGAACTGTGCTTGGGGCATGGGGCTTACGGGAGGGACGATGGCTAAAGGTGTGGTGACGTCATATCATAGATAAAACATACTCCCTTAGTTTCTTTTTTCTTCTTCTTTTTTTTTTCTTTTTTTTTCTGCTGTTCTTCTCCTCCGCAGTCATCAAGATTGGGGGAGGCGTCATCTTTTTCTTTATCTTTATCTTCTTAGTTGTATCTTGGTTTTTTATTGTCTTCTGTTAAAAGTATGGTCATCCAGGAATTCATTTAAACTGTAGTAGGGTCGTTCAAGGAGATAGTTTTTCAGTTGGTTAGCAAATTTTTTCGGGTCTGTAATAGCTTTTAGCCGATGTGGTAATAAATTGTAAAGTTTCATCCCTCTATATGTTGGGGTTTTTGCTGTTTTTTCTAATCTGTGTTGCGGTAGATTCAGATCGGTTTTTTTCCTGGTGTTGTAGTTATGAGTTTCTGATCGTTTAGTGGGATTCAGTTTCATTGTTTGGGTTATCACTTCAATCAAGTATAAGGATGTTAATGTGAGAATTTTGTTTTTTATAAAAAAACAAATTTTACTAAATAAGCGGTATTAAATAGTGTTGCTTAATACCGGTATGGATCATAAAAATGACGTTGTTGGCCCGAATCCTATACTAATACCTAGCACTGAACATATGTTTTGGCAGTTCCATTTAAGCAATGTTAAATTATATTTATTTTCGGGCCAAAAACGACATTTGTTTATGTTTATGATCCGTACCGGTATTTTTCTAGTACCCGTCGGGGACACTATCTTTTTGTCAAAGATTTTGCTTTATTTGATTTTTATCTTATATCTGTTTTTTTATTATCAGCAAGTTTGGTTAGATAGGTTAGGTTATGACAGTTTAATTTTATAATACTAAAGTGTAGAATTGATTTTATAATTAAAAATTATAAGTAAACATTCATTTCAATTTTATCTTATATATTTTTTATATTATCAGCAAGTTTGGTTGGTTAGGTTAGGTTGTGACAGTTTAATTTTATAATTAAAAAGTTAATTTTATAACTAAAAACTATAAAATTAACTTAATTTAAATTTTTCAACTTAGCAGTTTTAGCGGCGAACGCTGACACTTTAGCCATCGTCCCTCCCATGTGCCCCACCGAGTGAACCACAACCAGACAACAGACGGACAGACAGACTTGTTTGACGGACGACAGAAACAGAACAGAAGGACAAGGAAAACAAAAACTTGACACTGACACTAGAGTCTAGTGTAGTGAGTCAGTGAGTGGATTGAGTGACACTACTGTAGTTGTAGTTATGGTATTACAAGAAGACATCCCATCCATCAGGATCCATCCATATGGATCAGATGTCGCAAATTTTTTACTAAAAAAGAACGTAGTTGTGTGAGCCAGTCACAGATTGTGCTAGTGTCTAAAACTCTATTTTGTACCTTATTTTTGTTACTGACATTGTTGCTGGGTCACAACAGTTGCTATAGCTCAAAATAAGTCATTCCATCAGTTTGACTTGGTGAAAACCATCGTGTAATTGGCAGAAATCAGAAATTTAGATCAGCGCAATCTGTAGGTGGCTCACATCAACTAAGACAAATTTGATTAAAAACCTGGCTACGACTTTAACATGGGGATGGAATATGTCAAAATTTGTACAACTTAGTACACAAAATAAATTGTTACTGTACAAAACAGTTCTAAAACCAATTTGGACTTATGGGATTCAGCTTTGGGGATCAGCAATCACCTCAAACATTGAAATTATTCAACGTTATCAACATTATTACGTAAAATTGTCAACGCACCTTTGTTTGTTACCAACAGAACACTTCATATGATCTTAAAATTAAGAGTCAAAGAGGAAATTACAAAAACTAGTGAAAAATTCATTAAAATTAGAAAATCATTAAAATCATCTTGCACTTATTGGACATAATCACAACACTACATTTACAGACTGAAGCGACATACGATATTGGACCTCCCATTCAGATTCATCGGTTAAGTGTTATCAAAATTCTCTTAGCTAGTATTGACAATGAGTGGCCAATCACTAGCTCATGTTCTTCAATTGAATGTTGTATTATTATTTATATCATTTGCTTATTGTTCAACTTGAACAGATTGTAAATTAAATAAAGTTAACAAATTACGATTGGGTTATTATACCATCGATTTGTCCAGCAATCGACAACAATAGCTTAAATCTTAACTTTATTTATTTATTCATATCAACGCTCAAACCAAAGTCAAACCAATACATAAATATGACAAAACGTAACACCTTTATAAACCTATATAGCAGCGGACGTAAAAAATAGCTACCATTAGTCATGAATGTTCATTCTAACATTCAAATGAATGTTAGTATATATATAATATGTTTGTTTTTCATATTTCATTACTAAGCTGCGAATCATTAGTGTTAGCATGTATTCATAATGCATGACCAAATAGCAAGATGTAAAACTTACAGCATGTTATTTATCATATGTCATAAACATGTCATATTGACATTGTTGCACGAAGGGTGAATTCCGGAATTTTTGTTTTGCGTCGGCTGGCTCCATTTGCAGAAAAAAAACTGTTCTTCTCTCAGCATACTACGCAGTGGTTTTCCCCTATCTCTCATATGCAGTCACGGTATGGGGATCTGAATCATGTGCAACAAAACATATTTTTGCGCTCCAGAAAGAGGCAGTTCGGGTTATTGCTGGCATTGGTCGAAGAGATTCATCTAAATCGGCTTTCATTCAATTAAGAATACTCACTTTTCCTTGCATCTAACACTTTGATATTTTTAAAGCAAAACCATAGTTTTTTTTAACCTTTATTCCCTCACTCCAATTACAATACCAGGAAAAGAACCGATTTAAATATCCCACAACACAAAACTTCCTTTTTTAAACGCCATGTGTTTTACAATGCTATAAAGTTGTTCAACTCGCTGCCCAACAAGCTTAAGTCAATAAGTGACATCAGCTTATTCAAACGAAAAATTAAAATATTTCTTATTGAAAAACGTTTTTATTCTGTAAAACATTATGTTAAAAATAGGTGGTAAAGAGGTTTGTTACTTATGTGAATGTTGTATTTTGTTTATTGTATTGTATTTGAATAATGTGATTTAAGCCATGCATGTTACTGTGTTTTATACGGCAATAAAGAATTTTTGATTTTGATTTGATTTTATCAATCCACAAATTGTTGTGCATGTAATTGATTGTACAAATGGTGATTTTGCCGGAAACAAATGAATAAATAAATAAATAATTGAACTAAATGCTGCATTTTAAATAGAGTAAACAAACTCCCTTAAAATATTTCAGATTAAATTGTTATAGTAAATGGTACTGTATGTTATAGAAATAATGTTCAACACATCGTCACAGGTTGGCCGCCCTGATATTCTTTCAAGTTCCTGATCGCTCATTCGCCTGCTCTCCATGATTGTTTTGTTTTGTTTTCTGATAAGCAGCTTCAAAATGTTTACCTTCGTCTTTCTATTTTCTATTCTATTCTAGCTCTCTAGGCTAGTAGAAGGAAACAGAATGTGCACAGCACCTTAGACCTACGAATTTAGAATACTGTTTACTTGTATCGTTGATATTTAAGTAAATCAAGTCAATAGTAACTTAGTGGTAGAATAATTATAAAATCAGTTTTCAGATTTCTGCATTATTAATAGGGTACCTAGCCTACCAGCCAAATCAAGAAGTTAGTAAATTTGATTTTTTTTAGTTTTCTAAAAACAGCAACAAAGAAGACAGCAACATTTCATCAACAAGGTTGAAACTGGACTAGGCCCAGTTTTTAAGGTCAGTTTCATTGAATCACGTCTGATTTATTCTTTCATAATACCTACCTCTGTAGCCTAGTTCTGAAGATCGCTACACTGAGTGATTAACTTAGATAGCCTAATTTTACAAGGATGAATATTATTTATCTGGCCTTAACAATAGTTAAGCTTAGTTTTTCACTACCTAGTACAAATTTACCAGAGGAACATTGTCAAGTGTGTGAGATCTATAGGCCCAATTGTCAGTATCAATTATCAATTATCAATTATTTAAGATGGGGACGCCACTATGTGCGTATTTTAACCCAAATATGAAATAGTAAAATAGTAGTTTCCCATTAGCATCTCTTCTTAGCAGTCAGCAGACTAACTTATATTTAAGTCAAAGCACTCAAAGCAGTTTGGAAACATGGTTTAACCCTCCGAGCGTCACTCGTTGAAAAATCTACGCGTGACACTATACGAAGTGTGTCAATAAAAAAATACAAGTCTTAGAATCAACTTTGGACAAAGGAGCTAACCGTTTACAAGAAGAATTCTAGTCAGAATCGTTAGCGTTATTTTCCCTTGCTCTCTTACCCCTCTTGGGTGCTCTCCAAAAGTGCTCCAACTTGTGAAAACAGCCAGGGTGCACTCCTGAGTTACATGCAGGGCACCAAAAATGACTCCTGGACTTTTTTTGTGGAGTGGAACACACAACACACATCCTGAGTTGTACTCCAGGCAATCTCGTCAATACATGGGACGCAGAGGGTCCTGCATCTCCTCCAGGACCAACGTCTGGTATCTGAGCTCTTGGGTTAGGCACTGCAACATCACTTGATAAACTTTCAACGATGCTAACCATATACAGTAGTTGTATCGTGTCATAGGCTGGTCAGTATTTTTCAGGTACAAAATATAACTGTTTAGGAGAGCCATGTCCAAAAAATTTTCAAAGATCTTCTTCCAATATTTTTTTGTAGCTCTTGTACAGGTGCTGTGATATATAGACTTATCTTTGCTGTCCACACCACCCATATGAAGGTTGTACTCATTTATTAGGGATGGTTTTATAGCCTCTATTCCACTTTTTTTACTTTTTACCACACGGTCATCTGCGGGGTATCCAGTTGTTATAAGGTAAACAGGCTTGCGTTTTTTCTTTTGTTTGTAGCCAACAAGCAGAACTCCTTGCTTTCTAAAATAGATTGATGTCTCAGGTTGTAATTTAGCATCTAAAACACTTTTGGAGAGTTCTTTTGACCGCTTGTTGACGGTACCGGTAATGTAAGTTTCATGTTCAAGTAACTTTTTGGCAAGAGGTAATTTAGTGTAGTAATTATCTGTGTACAGATGATATCCTTTATTGAGTAAGTAGCATTTATTTAGTAGGTGTAAAACTACCTTTTCTGTAAATGCAATATCAGGATTTGTATTTTCAAGGAAGTCTTTACCACTGTACAGCTCAGAATGAAGTACGTACCCGGTGTCACTATCGCACACTTCAAATTTTTTTATACCGAAGCGGGCATGTCTTTTGTTAGGCATATATTTTATAAATGTACACCTATTCTTCATCCCTATCATAGACTCATCTAATGAAATGTTCTGGTTTGGAATAAAATAAACTTTAAAATATCCATTCATTAGCTCATAGAAATGTCGCACTTTGAACCATGGATCATGTCCGAGCTGTCCTTTTGGTATATACTGTAGAGAGCTAAGATGGAACATTGATCTCAGTGCCTGAAATCTTACTAGGCTCATATTATCAGGAAAAAAAGGTAATCTCTGAGATCTAACTGTTGACCAATAATTTTCAATGTTCTGTTTGTAATTCAGACCCATATTTATAAGAAGGGCCATAAAACGCTTCATTTCCTTGATAGAGGTTTCTTTCCACCTTCTTAGTCTACTGTTTGGCGTCAATGTACCTCCATTTATAGCTGATTCTATTTGTCTGCTTGCATAAGCATTTGTTTCCCTCACCATCATACCCCAGATAACATTAGTAAAGAAAAGATAGAAATATGTAATTGGGTTGCTATTCCGGGGAGGAAGATTTCGAGGACCTGGATTTCGTACCTGAAATTTTTCTGTGACGTCAAACATTTGTTCAGGTGGGTAAACCCTAACCCAGTGTACACCCGAGCTAATCCTAGGCCCTGGCAGAGTATAATTAGGTTGGTTCAAAGGGTTATTTACCTCAGGGATAGGAGGGTCATCTGGATCTGAGTGTTCTGGAGAACTTGGCAAAGGCCTACGCAAGCCTACTTCATTAGGCCTAGGCCTAGGTCTTGGAAGATCAAAATCTGTAATAGATGTATCTGAGTTCTCATCTTCACTGTTTGGAAAGTATAATTCCCCACTCCCAGATGAAAAATCAGTCAAAGATATGTCAGAACCATACACATCTGAACCCACATCACTGTCATCAATTTCATTTTCATTTTCACTGAATACATCACTTTGTAGGTCAGATATTGGTTCAGCATCATTCAAACAGGCCCTAATTGCACTAGAATTACTTAGTTCACTCATTTTAAGTTAAAAACTCACCACAACTCACTAAAATATTCATTTTAAAGCATTCAAAGTAAAGGGTTAACAACAAAATGCGGCAGACTAGACGACGCAAGCGAACACAAACAATCAACTGAAATACAGGCTTGCCAACATTCTTTTTTTTCAACAAATGCAACTAAACATATGATGACTAGATTGCTCAGTGTTTGCTCTTTAATACTATATAAAATACATAGATATTAAACGTTAAATAATGGAGTAAATTGTGTTTTACATAACGCTTGCAAATGGGTCGCGATCGCGATCTTACCAGTAATCGCGTGACGTAATTGAGTCGCGATCGTGACTTATACCAGTTGGAGGGTTAAACAATTCCTACGATCCTAATAAGTCATTTATTTGGCCAGAATTTACACTAGGTGGCGTTCGCGGAGGCATCCACAAAATTGAGCGGAGCCATCAAGGGTTCATATTATATTGTTTTTGTCGTACTGCAGTAAAAACAGTCGTTTTTAATGCATGCATTGCGGGTCTAAAGTAGCATTTTTACTCTTTTGGGAGTAAAAATCGTTTTTAGCCTCTATGGAGTAAAAAACAGCTGTTGTAAATTTGTTGTAAATTTCGATTTAAAATGATTGCATGTATCGAAAATATGTAGTGATTCGTGCTTCGTAATCATTTTAACCTACAGTCTACAGTCTCTTCCCATAGCATTTAGCATTGCAGATACATTAATCCATTCCCACACTCAACACTGCTCACCTTTACTACTTCTTTCACCACCCCCTACGTCGTGGACCTGTTTTCCTCTGTTCCCATAGCATTTTAGGATTGCAAATACATTAATGTAATTGCCAAAGACAGTTCCACACTCTCCACTGTTAGCCTTACTACTTCCCATTCACCATTTCTTTCCTACGTCATAGACCGGTTTCCTTCCCTTCTCATAGCATTTTAGGATTGAAGATACATTAATCTAACTGCCACAGACAGTTCTCACACTATGCTCACATTGACTACTTCCTTCACCACTTCCTACGTCTCGGACCTATTTTCCTTTCTTCCCATAGCATTTTATAATTGCAGATCCTTTAATCTAATCGTCATAAAAAGTTCCCACACTCCGGACTGCTCGCCTTTACTACTTCCTTCACCACTTCCTACGAAACAGAACTGTTTCCCTCCCTTCCCTTAGCATTATTGGATTGCAAATACCTTAATGTATTGGTCACAAACAGATCCCACACTCCGGACAGCTCGCCTTGACTACTTCCTTCGCCACTTCCTATATCGCAGACCTGTTTTCCTCCCTTTCCATAGCATCTTAGGATTGTACCTTAATCTAATCGTCATGAACAGATCCCACACTCCGGATAGCTCCCCTAAACTACTTCCTTCACCACTTCCTACGACGCAGACCTGTTTCCCTCCCTTCCCATAGCATCATAGGATTGCAAATACCTTAATCTAATAGTCACAAAGAGATCCCACACCCCAAACAGCTCGCCTTTACTACTTCCTTAACCACTTCCTACGTCGTGGACCTGCTTCCTTCCCTTCCAATAGCATTTTATTATTGCAGACACCTTAATCTAATCGTCATAAACAGTTTCCACACTCCAGACTGTTCACCTTTACTACTTCCTTCACCACTCCCCACTCCTACGTCGCGGACCTGTTTCCCTCCCTTCCCATAGCATTTTAGGATTGCAGATACCTTAATCTAATCGTCACAAACAGTTCCCACAGTCCAGACTGCTTGCCTTTACTATTTCCTTCACCACTTTCTACGACACGGACCAGTTTCCCTCCCTTCCCATACCATCATAGGATTTGCAAATACCCTTATCTAATGGTCATAAACAGATCCCATCCCCCCGAACAGCTCGCCTTTACTACTTCCTTCATCACTTCCTACGTCGTGGACCTGTTTCCTTCCCTTCCAATAGCATTTTATTATTGCAGACACCTTAATCTAATCGTCATAAACAGTTTCCACACTCCAGACTGTTCACCTTTACACTTCCTTCACCACTTCCTACGTCACGGACCTCAAGCTAGTGTCGTCATTTGATTATATTTATGATCCATACCGTTTCTGTTCTAATATCTGTGTAATAATTCTATCAGCTTTTTCTTTATCTACTGCATTCCAAAGTCAACAGCTGATCATATGTCTTTGTTTATGTGTCAAATACTGCTTCCATAAGGATTACATTGAAACTTTGAGACCCAGTAGGGCGGATTCCTGTGAGACTTGTTTAACGCCATATAGATGTTGGCACTTACCGATATGGTCTTTATCACCATGCAAAATTTGAAAACGATCTATTCAGCCGTCTAGGAGGAGTTTGCGTATTACGAAATGCATAAGAGTCGACGTATAAGAGCTTCGCTCGCTCCGCTTGATTAACTTAATGAAATGAAATGATTTATTGTTGTTAAAACTATGTACAAAGTTCATGACAATCGTCAAAATAAAAACAAAACAATCAAGATGGCTCTGGCAAC